GTTTATAAAGAAAGTGGAATACTGGTGTGTATTTTTTATTTAAACTACCAATACCAGCCATATACAGTTTACATAATATGTTTATGTTCCTAAATTAATATCATTTATGACCTTTAGACATATAATGCTCCTCTTCCTTTTATGCTCAGCTACACAAATTTCCCTTTAGTTGTAAAATTCTAAATTAATATTCAATATTAAGCGGATTTATCACTGTTCATCACTGGACAACCTACAGTCCGCCTACCAGCCCAGTGTTGGTGTGAAGGATGCAGTCATCTACATGCTGCAAAGGGCCTACTCACACCTGGACAAGGCTGGCAACACTGTAAGAATTATGTTTTCGACTTCTCCAGTGCCTTCAATACTATCCAGCCCTTACTTCTAAGGAGGAAGATGGAGGAGATGCAAGTTGGTGCCTCCATGATCTCATGGATCACGGACTATCTGACAGGCAGACCACAGTCTGTGAGACTTCAGAACTGTGTGTCTGAACAGGTAGTAAGTAACACAGGGGCTCCTCAGGGGACACTTCTTTCTCCGTTCCTCTTCACCCTCTACACTTCGGACTTTAAATACAACTCAGTCGTGCCACCTGTGGAAGTTCTCAGATGACTCTGCAATTGTGGAATGTATCAAGGGTGGGCGGGAGGAGGAGTATAGGGGACTGGTCAGCTGCTTTGTCTAGTGGTGTGGGGAGAACAACCTGCAATTGAATGTAACAAAGACAAAGGAACTGGTGGTAGATTTCAGGAGGAAAAGGGTCAAACCTACTCCTGTCTACATCCATGGGAGTGGCGTGGAGATGGTGGACTCTTAGAAGTACCTGGGACTTTACATCAACAATAGACTGGAATGGTCTAAGAACATTGAGGCCATTTACAAGAAGGGTCAGAGCCAACTTTACTTCTTGAGGAGGCTCAGGTCCTTCAATGTATGTAGTAAGACTGTTCTATCAGTCGGTTGTGGCGAGCACCATTTTCTACGCGGTGGTATGCTGGGTGGATTCTAACAGGCTGAACAAGCTCATCAGAAGAGGAAGCTCTGTCATTGGGTCTGGCCTGGACCCCCTGGAGGAAGTGGCTGAGAGGAGAATGGTGTCCAAACTAGAGGCCATCATGGACAACGTCTCCCGTCCCCTCTATGACATGCTTGTAGAAATGAAAAGCACGTTCAGCAATAGATTGATCCATCCATGATGCGACAGGGAGCGCTACAGGAGGTCATTCTTGCCTCCTGCCATAAGACTGTACAACGCATCCACCTTGTGCAGAGGCAACATTGACAGTGAACTGTTTCTGGACTGAACAGTAAACTGATACATCTGTTCTTTTTCTTTTTCCCATTTACATCCCTTTTCATGCAATATATGCCAGGGACTTGTACAATACATTTATATTTATATTTATATGTGCAATACAACTTTTTTTGTGTACTGTCCTGTTCTGATTGGTTCTTTGTTCTTTGTCTTTGTGTTCTGGACTGTGAGTAACTCTTCTTAGTGCATTTCTCACTGTATTGATTGTATTGTATGTATTGTATTATTATTATTGTATCACTCATTACACTGTTGCTGTGTTGTCTGTGTTAAGCTGCTGTTGCACTGCAATTTCCCTCATGGGATCAAAAAAAGTATCTATCTATTTAAACATGCACAGTAAAGAGATTAAATTAAGCAATAATTTCGCTGACAAGCAATGCACCACGAGTGCAGCCTGTCAGTCATTTTGGCCAGCCAATAACATACTGCGGTATAACATGCTAAAATGCAGATAATTTTGCACAGTACGGGGTTTTACAACATATTTTGAATGGCTGCATTTGTATATATATGCTTCATAGCTACTGTACTTTAGAGGAAGCAAGTTATTTTAATAAACTTTACAGGATTGAAAAACACAATATACCACATATAGCGAAAAGATCAATTACACAGATTAAATTACTTCTCTGACAGCCAAATTTGGAATGTTTCTGCCAGAAAAATGTATATCTCTTGTCACTCTTTTTATAAGGTTTTTGAAACATTTCTGATTTGTGATTTCTTTATTACACAATTCTACTGCTTTCATATGGGGATAAATACATACTATGTTTTATGAATGTAGTCCTGAGACACTTGAGGATTATAATAAATAAAGCAGCCAGAGAGATATTAGATGCTCCATTAATTTGGGCCAAGGACTGAGTGACAGCGAGCAAGTAGGCTGATCGTTACCTTTGTTGGAGTTCGGTAGCATGGCACAGATATCCACTGCTTCTTCTGGTTGATGAGGAGGAGAGCAGTAATGGCAATCAAAGTCATCATAATGGGAAGTATCACCCAGGCCACTGAATGGAAAGCGCTGTCCTTGCTGGGTACAGGAACCTTTCCTTCTGAGTATTGCATCTGCAGATTCCCCACTTCCTCTGAAAGGCATCATTAGGCATGAATGGTTCACTAGAAGTAAAACCTATCAATACCTTTAATTTCCCTGACAGTTCCATGGATATGAAAATGTCACTTCCAATGACTACCTGACCAAGATGCTTAAGCAAATTGTATCTTTATATAATTAATGCATTGTTTAAAAGGCACACAACCTTAAGTCCAATCCTCACTGAAGAAATTCAGTCCACCTTTGGTTTAGCTGGTGGGGCTAATGCTGGTACAAACTGTTTTAAAAGGTTTCATTGTAACAATTATAAAAAAATAGCCAGATAATCACAACCTCAACTTGAAAAAGTTAGGTGTGCAGTATTATTCTTGTGGTTTCTATTTAATTTTTAATTTTTAATTTCATTTGTAAGCACTAACAACTAACTAACAACTTTCCTGTTTAATTAAACAACATGAATTTGATTAAGCACCAAAATATTTATCTCCAGAATGCTTTCTTCAGGTTCAACTTTAACACTGTACAGCTTGCTAAAAATTAGATTATTTTCCATGGTTATACAAGATTAATCTTAATTTATCCTGAAGTGTTTATATAATCATGTGTTTCTACGTGTGTTACAATAAATCCTGGAGCTCTGCATTGTTATTGTACTGTTTTCACTGTCTCAGCATATGACGTTGAAAACAGTACAGATGCATCCATGAAGATACTTTAACCAAACTGTTGCTGCATTGGACTGCTCTGTAGGAAACATAGAAACCCAACAAGATAGAATTTAACAATAATATCTTGTCCAGGCAAGTTATTATTAGTTCTATTAACAGGTATCAAGCACAAAAGTTTTATTTAATAAAAACTCAAAGAATTGGACTGACATGGCCAGTTGGCCCACAAATGAGCTATCTACAGTGGCATATTGCAAGAACATGTCTTGGTACACTGAAATGTACTGCCCAACACCTTATTTATTTCTTCAAATAATCTGATGCAGGGCTGCACTACTCTGTAAAACTGTCAGTTGGTACAGTCAATACTTAAAGTAATGTGTATCTCTAACATCCAGAAAATATCATTTGAATTATTACAATTAAATTGGTATTAATCCATTAATGTTTTCTTGAGTTTATCATACTATACAGCAACACTAATAGATTTTTTATTTTTAAAATTAAATACAGTATTCAGAATTATTAGTAACTGTGTATAAATAGTAATTAGAAAACTTAATTTTATTTTAGGTTTTGATTATAAAATATATTATACATAGTGGCTTTAAAGGCATATCGAATTTAGAATTTAAGTGTAGAAAAACAAAAAAGAAGCCAGTAGTGACTTACAGTTGCATTCTGTAAATTGCATTGGAGCTGATACTATATTATACTGCACTATATTAAGGATTTTCTTTAAAGAAACCACATTTTTCCTTAAAACACAACAATGATTGCAACAAAATGTTTTTCATTTATAATATGCTGCTTTTAGTTTTTTTTCTCACACTAAAAATAGTTTTGTTCAGCTAATTGTATTCATATAGATTCATTTCAAAAGACTTTGAAAGAAAACGGACTTTGGGTTTCCATACATTCACTTCTCCTGCAAACAGTTATAAAATCAGTCATTTTAATTGTGTGTTGTATATATTTATATATTATATATAATGCTTAGTTGCATTGTAATGGAAAATGAAATAATTTTATTAAAACAATACTCAAATAATATTAATAAAAATTGCAATAACATAGATGAACAATCGTAAACATGAAACATAATGATAAAGACATCATTAGAGGTGTCTTTATCATGTAAATTGACACATACAGTAAATGATAAATGGTTTATTCTAAATAACCATGTGTTTCACAGACATCTAATCTTCCTGTCAATCATGCTACCCTGCCCCCCTCTAGGAAACGGGCCCACAAAACTAATCCAATGTTTATTTGAATCTCGATAAACACTATAAATGCTTATGGTGAGAACACATTGTAATGTATTTGTTCTGTTTTAACTGATCAGTTTATATAAAGTAATGTTATAATGAAGCCTCTGTTCCTAAACTACTAGTGAAAACTAGTGTAGAGTTAATTCACCACTACAGGGTATTTCACTAAATTAGAACATGAGAAAAACAGAATCTGGATGTTATAACATATCTAATATTGTTTTCAGTTTTGTAAAAAAGACATTAAAATTAGAGGTTATGTTTGCTTGGACATAACCTCTGGACTGGGCCTCTCTATCATCGGTCCTGTGGTTCAGTTTTCTTTCATACAAATTATGTTTAAAAGACTGATATTTGTGATTTATTTTCAGAAGTTTTATTTCAATTGAGTAATATCTATGACTACCTATTTCATACTCCATACTATTCATAAGGTTTTTACAGTGGATATCAAAAATCTAAACACCCTTATTGAAATTTTAGCTTTGTTGAAATCAAAACTAATCATGTCACATCTTTTTTAACCTTAAGCAAGATCTTGTAATAAAAAATATTTAAGCGAAAAACAAATGGATCATTTTTAGGAAAAATAATTAAAAATAAAAAACTCAATGCTTTGGTTGCATACGTGTGCACACCCTTTATCTAATTCTTTGTGGAAGCACCTTGTAACGGGGGTCCTGACTCCTGCGAAGTGCGTAGTTTAGAACCCTATGCAGACAGTATTATCCGGGTGAGACTGGAGAAGGGCTACAGGGAAAACACGGTGAGGAAAGGACGGGATGACAAACAGGGGGCAGTGCCAACAGTGATGCAAGTGCATGGGGTAGCATTGACGAACAAGTCCAAACGAGGAAAGTCCAAATGGGAAACTAGGGCGCATTCCAGGGTCCAGGTGGTGGGAGATCCATCCAAGACAATTAAAACCAGGAACGGGATTAAGGACAGAAACAGAAACAGGAATAAGGAAGTTAAAAACAAGATAATGAAGCCAGGCACTCCGAGTCCCGGACTCAGCTGGTCATGAATGCCGTTCTGACGCCATGGGGTGACTTGATGCTAGGCTGGCCTCCGGGCATCCATTTTCCAGTGCAGAGCCCTGAGCTTCGGAGGCACGGGATTTAAATAATAAATGGGGGACAAGGGACAGGTAAACGTAATAATGAAACTAAAATACAAAAGGGTTGGAGAGCCCTCTAGAGGAGGAATGACAATCATGACACACTTTTTGCTTTGATTACAGCAGTAAGTCTTGTTTGGATAGGTCTCTATCAACTTAACACACTTGGATTTTGCAATTTCATCTCACTCTTCTTTGCAGAAGAGTTCAAGTTCAGTCAAATTGCAAGGGGATCTCCTGTGCACAGCCGTCTTTAGGTCAGTCCAAAGATTTTCTGTAGGACTGAAGTCCGGGCTCTGACTGGGCTATTCCAGGACATTGATCTTTCTTTTTTAAGCCATTCCTTGGTTGAGTTTGCTGTGTGCTTTGTTGTGTTGAACGGTGCCATTTTTCTTTAATTTCAACTTTCTGGCAGAGGGCAGCAGGTTTTGTGCCAAGGTATCTTGATATTTGGAGCTATTCATTTTCCCCTCTATCCTGACCAGAGTCCCTGTTCCCACTGAAGAGAAGAAGACCCAAATCATGATGCTGCCACCACCATGTTTGACAGTATGTACTGTGTTTTTTGGGTGATGAACTGTGAACATACAGATGCAGCCATTCAAAGTGCACGGTACAGACACGTACCGCAGGTAATTGGCTGCGGTGTCGCGCATCATGACGCAAGATGACGCGGGGTACCGCA